TCTTTTTACTTTTATATACTAGAATATATATATATATATATTATTTGTTGTCGTTTTTGTGATTTATTTGGAGTTATCTATAAGTACAGCAATTTTTTATATATGTGAAAAATATTAAGAAGTGTACTCAAATCCTATCATATAATTGTATTATCCTATACTGCAATACGTTATTCAGAAATCGTTCATTTTTTTGCGGTTTAGTTTTGGAATCAAGGGTAAATAACATTGACTCTATGATATCATACTGAAAACGTTCCTAACCACTAAGCGTTTACAAATATTTCAAAAGTTAGAAAAAAATTTTAAAACTAAACTAAAATATTGAGGTTTTCATAAAAAATKTTCACAAAATATTTTTGTTTTATTTTCATGGTTTGACTGATGTTTTGTGATTTTAATTGATTCTAATAAATTTAGATTTTTTATATTCACTATTATCTGTCTACTAGTTTCTGATTCTAATGCTTTTGATCTAAAACATTCGTCGCTMATAGCTAGTGCTTCAATTTTTGATGGAGTCTACAAACATTTGGTTTACTAAATAACTCAAATTGGTAATACTTTTGCTAAAATGTTTTTATTCGTCCAGCTTCGCACGAATGAACATTCGTGCTTGGCGTCAGTGTTTTGTCAAAGTTCTTTAAGTCGTTAATAATAATCACGATCATAAATATCTCAAAGGGGGWTTTTTTTCATAGTGAACAAGATTTCAGGGTAGATTTTTTTTATAGTGAACAATTCCAATTACTGAGATATTAATTAAATTTAGAATTTCAAATCAAGGGTTTCGTGTTTATGTCAGGGTATTTAGGTTCGGTAATTATTATGCTACGCTCTTTGTTTACAGTTTACGGTCTCTACGCCTCTGCGCCTAAATCACTTCCATTGACAAAAGCCACATATACATATTTCAATAAAGTTAGTCACCAAAAACCAAGAAAGCTGTGACGGCTGAGAATCATTGGAAATATTACGTATTCAACAAGTAAAGCTTTTAACACAAACTGCAGCAGTCAAGGATGCTCAGAGGTGAGACTGTATAACTGGTAAAAGATCTCAAGTCCATCAACAGTTATCAAGCGATTGAAACATGTAAAATGTATCTATCCATAATCCTTGTCGGTCTCAGCTTTGTAGCTTTTCAGGTG